GTTTTGAATTACTTGCAACAGAACTTGTATTCCTGCCGAAGCTGAGCCAATACTCAACTCGAGTTCATGTTATCCTTTGGTGAATTTCACTCGGCCTTATTGTGAAAATCAAGGAATCACGTTACCCAACTACGTGTATATGACACCTCAAAACCAATCAAAGTCGAATTTCTATGCAAACAAGGACAGGAAAAGTTTTTACAAGTTACGAAAAGCCAAAATCATCAGCTTTTTCAGTTTGGACCTGAGCAAGTTGGAAAATTGCATGCATATTTTCGATTTATTCAGATGCCATTTCTTTTTTCCGCGCTGCGATCGAACCCAAAGCGTGTATAAAGAGCAAAAGGTTTGTCGTGAAACCTGTCTCAAAGCAAGGAAGACATGTTATAAGTTGTGGAAATTTATTGAGGCTATGGTGGTGCGCCTTCACCGAGACAAGGCGTCGATAATAAAGGAAACCTTCCGCTGTGAAAGGCAGCCTTACAGAAATGCAGGTGACAGCCCTGAATGTTGGTATGATGATTTAACAAATTCCACAGGTAATACTTCGCATTGGAGCAGAGATAATTTTAAGGTTGTATTCCACAGACCTTTTTTTAAAGAAATAAGATTTAATCGTTAATTACCCTTCTAAGAATTTTTTCCAGGTGTCCAAAGTCATTAAAACCAGTGAGTATTCCGCATTAGGGTGGTGAGAATTAAGCGTCAATTAATGTACAATTAAGTTATCGTTGGATTGACGAGATGTAGTCACTGCGAACAATACAAACGTATACTGTACGCATGAAATGGCCCAAAAACGACGAAAAACGTAGAACAAAAAGTTTCGGGTACTTCTCGAGACAATTATATACAAAGACAATGGTTTTGGCGTTCTTATGGTGTTATAGCTTTTCTTTATCACTTTCTTTCAGATGAATCTTCCAACCCTAACTGGACAGCAAATTTAGGTACGTGTTAGTCGAAAGATGATTTTATGATCAGTTTACTTGGAATGTATAAGGTGTAACACACAGATTTATCAAGAACAGAGTGCATTTTATAAGTCAGAAGTGAATATGATCCGAAAAAAAATTGGATCTTGAGAAGTTTAGAGAAGCCAGAAAAATTATCAACAAACAACTATTTTTGCACAGATTGTCTATACCTAAACGGAAGCAGTTACCATGGCAACATATCAGTGACGGCTTCGGGTATTTCATGTCAGTCATGGACAGAACAATGTCCACATCGTCATACCATGAACACCACATATCCAGAATTATATAATGCCAAGAATTACTGTCGTAATCCCAAGAACTCAGGACAAAGACCTTGGTGTTTTACCACAGATAGAAACAAGAGATGGGAGTACTGCGATATCCCTAAATGTACACCAGGTACAGTCATAATATATTCCTGAATGTATGGAACCATTGATGATATAAAGGGTTATAGCAACGGAACATAAAAAAGGAAAACGTGGCAGGTTTTCAGAAAGGCTGATTGAACGTCTTTCATATTGTAGAATCATTCAAACAAAACCCGTCACTGTGTAGTATAGAATAGGAAATATAGTTTTAGGGGCTGTTTACATGAGCCCGGTTACCCGAGATTCAACGAAGCGTGAGAGGACTTTGAGGTATTGAAATAAGTCTTTATGACATCAAACAAGCACATGCTATTGTTGTGGTGATTATACGACTGCCAGGATCATGTTATCTTCTCATTTCAATACCTCAGAATCATCTCATGCTTCGTTGAATCTCGGGTAACCGGGCTCATGTAAACAGCCTCTTAGTTAGAATAGTTTTGCAGGTACACAGGTATGCAAATTACACAGTAATAAAAAATATCAAAAAATTACAACATTATTGGTACAAAAAAGTTTGCATCGAGTAATATGTAGTATTTTTTACTGTTCGACATATATAGCACTGAATGATAAGAAAACAGTTTAATTTAAGAATGATAACATGAAATTGTTCTAATAGATTGCATTAGCTTTAACATTGTACAATATTTGTGTTTATAGTTGAAGGTAACTATGGCAACTGGATATTAAAGAACGTGTGCCATGTAACTTGTGGTGAAGGTTTTGAAACGTGGACACGAAGTTGTGACAACCCTGAGCCAAAATTTGGCGGAAGAAACTGCAGTTATCTTGGAGAACCCGTGGAATACAGATCTTGTTCAGCAAGGCCTTGTCCTGGTGAGATAAATCAATACCTCCGCCAGGGGAATAGGTTGTGCATGTTGTGACCTTTGTTTGTATTCTTTTTACCTCTTTATTTCTAGTTAACGGTGGTTATGGCAACTGGAGTGTCATTATTCCTTGCAACGTTTCGTGCGGTAAAGGAGTGGAAATATGGCGACGTTATTGTGATGATCCAGAACCAAAATACGGAGGCCGCAATTGCAGTGGGCTGGGAAACTCTACGGCATTGAGAAAATGTGAAAGAAAACCATGCTCAAGTAGGAATAAATTGACCAAAGAAAATTAAACCTGTTTAATCGAGGCCACGGTAGTAATACAATGATTGGCCCGTTCCATCATTCTGCTGCATGCTAAAACGGAAAGCAAAAAAATGAACAAAAGCTAACTAGCTTTACTTTCTTGTATATTGGAATATTACTATCTTGAATATTAATAATAACTTTTCATGTCTATCCTCGGGGCAGAAATATTTTGTTTCCCTTGTCGGAAGTACAATTACATTTTTTGCCTTAGTCGACGGTAACTATGGCAATTGGACGAAAGTGTTGCCATGTAGCGTCACGTGTGGTAGAGGAGTCGAAGCCTGGATACGGATGTGTGACAATCCCCCCGGAAAATACGGTGGTAACTGTAGTAAGCTAGGACCAGACTTCGAGAACCGCCCATGCAAGAACCAACCATGTCCTGGTAAGAAGAAAGCCAGCTAAAAATGGCCAATCTTGATTAATGGAAAACTAATAAATTGAAGAATAATTAAAGACTGAAGTATACACGGCGAAACACATAAGCAAAACTTGATCTGAAAACTCCATTTTGTGAAAATAAAAATCGATATACTAGCTCAGTCTAAAATCAAATTGTGTTCTGCAAAATTTCAGGTGATTCCGAGACGATTGGTATCATTGTTGGTGTTGCAAGTTTTACATTTGTCACTGCAGCTGCCATTCTTATCTTTCTTCTACGAAAACGATGGTACAAAAAACAAGGTAAGCCTCGGCAACGTGCATTTACACCGTTCCTATTGAGAGATGAATCTCACTTCTCATGTTCGGAGTGTTCGCCTTTGTTTTCCGAGAGTGCGCTAGTAGAGTTCTGAGAAAATGCTGATGTATAAAACAATATCAAAGTCTTCAAAATTACAAACGTTAACGGATAAGACGGATTGTGTGAATCTGAATAAAACTCAGTTGTTGAAACGATCTATGTTTTCATATACTGATATACATAACTTAATGTCCTGAATTTCAATCCTCCAGGATCTGATCCATATTACGCAATTTTTCGTTTTTCCCAACATTCCTCGGGTCGTCACCATGAAGATGGCGCGAGTTCCTCACAGGAGAATAATGAAAGTGTCGAATATGGAAACCTCACAACCGAGGGTAACCCCGTTCCAGGCCTATCCCGCGGTGTTGTACTCTACCGAAGGGAATACATGAACACACGACCCTCGCAAAACTCTTTCTATCACAGACTGCAAGTATTCCGACCAATGACTGTTGAATGGCTTCGAAACGCGTGGGGGAATGTGGACGAGTTTGGCCATCATGTTTATGACGTCATGCAACGTAACATCAGACAAATTTTTCTGCCATACGATAGGTTGGGCATCATAGGGCGGAGGGAGTCTACAGAAACGGAGAGGGATAATTTAACTTACGATAGCCTGGGGAAACCTCCTGGAATGGTCGTGCCCGACCAAAATGCTTTGACCGCAGAACATACTTAAATAATAAGAATGGGAGATTCTGGCCTAAATAACAGTGAGCTTAAGCACTCAGTTCACGTGACATACAGTTCACCAATCACAAACTTTGACCCAGTCTTTTGACGTTATTCATGCCGTGTTAGAATTTCTGAAATTTAGCCCGTTTACTAATTTTCTGAACTCCAGCTTATACTCATTTAGAATTATAGGGAACCAAAATAGTGTTTAAATATTCTGCCGTTCTTGATATTTTTGTGATTGAAAATCATTCTTGATATTTTTGTGATTGAAAACAAGGCGTTTGTTTATATCAGCGGCTGTAATCTGCATTTAAAGTAAACGTTTTTATATGTGTGTTTTGTGAATTCAGTTGCCGGTTATTTACCCAAGAACAAGGGCTCTTTATAACAAATATCCACAAATATGGCGGATTTCGGCTTTCAAGCTCTGCTGACGCCATTTGGTGCCTTTAATCCTTTTGGCCATGGTATTTACCACTGACTAGTGGTAATCCTAATTCTGAGCCCGCTACAGTAGCATTCTCCCCCTGGATTTTGTAAGTATATATTTTTGGCCTGACCTGCAATATAGTGTTTTTTAAGATGAATACAAGTCGTAGACGCTGTTTTTGCTAATGCGAGAACAAATATATATTAAAATGTGGACGAAACTACAGATTTTAATACTGACACTATTTATACTGACAGGTTTATTTTTTTTATTTTAATTATTATATTAATTATTTTATTTTAATTATTATATTTTATTTGATATTTTAATTATTTATACATTCCTATGTGAAATTTAACAAATGCTTGACCTTTTGGCAATATTGTCGGATATTTTGAGGACATTTTTGAGGAGGATATTTTGAGGAATTTTAATTGTTACTGAGTTACAGGCACTGAGCAGTCTGAGCTACATAATAACCACTGGGGCAGGTTGTATAAAACTCCTAACTACATTTTAAGTAGTTAAATCGTAGTTAACTAGAAAATACATTATTCTGATTGGCCAATTCTGCCACCAACTATAGTTAATTGTTATATACCCTGCACATTCGGAATTATCCGGAACGTCTTCGTGGAGTATCCCAGAATGCCGTGTTAGCACGTGGCGTCACATGCAGCCTTCGTTTCGCTTTGGAGAAGAAGGAAATATGGCGCAAAACAGCAATTATTACGGCTATTCAGCCGGTGTTCAGGGCTCGCAAGTGTACGGCAATACGATGCAAAACCCACAGATGACTCAGTCGGCGTACAGTGGACAAACTACGGCCGCTTATGGCGCTCAATCGACGACACCAAGCGCCAATGCTTACGGAACCGCATCGCCACGAAGTGTCATGCCGGGGCAAAGTGCTTATACACCAACGGCCGCTTCTAACTACCAAACGACCGCTTTATCTGGAAGCTCCTACGGATATACTGCTCGAGTGCAAGATACCTCTTCTCAAAGTTACCCAACGAACGCGGCGAGCGCATATACAAGCCCTGCTCCATACTATGGCCGTGACAACTCACAACAATCGTCAGGTTACGATGCTTCGAAAGCGAACAGCTATTACAACCAACATTCAGGCACGACACCGGGCTATGGCTACGGTTCTGGGGCATCGAAATCCATGTATTCCGGCTATTCGACGCAGTCAAATGCGAACAATCAAATGGCGAACCCGAGCACGCCAAAGGCAAGTACCCAAGCGTCAGGAAATAGTAACGTTTCCTATCCTTATAAAGGCCAAACAGGCACGAACTACAACCAGAATTCGAGCTCCTATAATTCGCCTTCAAATTGGTCTGGCAACGCAGGAGGAGGCTATCAGCCTGCACAGGGCTACGATGCAGCTGTTTACAACGCTGCTTCTTCGTACTTTCAACAACAAACGCAGCCAAGGCAAAAATGGGGAGGAAATAAGAACAACAATAGCGGTAATCAGAACAATAAACCAGGTCAATCGAGGCAGAGGAACCCCCCTAGACAACAGCAAGTTCATTACTGTGATGTTTGCAAAATCAGTTGTGCTGGACCTCAGGTATTAAAAAATATATAAATATATATTCGTATCATTACTCTGGTATAGGTATACAAAATATATATAAATTTGCCCACCAAAATCCTATCAGAGCATGTGAATATTAGTTATTCATTCACTACAGTAGCTAATCTAAACCCCCTCAACCCACAAATTTTTGCAGCACTACTTCATATTGTCGCAACTTCACCCATAGCCATGGGTCGAACACTGGTGATTTTGCCAAATCATGAAATAATTGAAATTCAATGTATGAAAATCAATTTGTCTTCATCTATGAATTTCACACAGTGGTATGATTGAGATAAAGTGCTGGAATTCTGCTTTATCATAAAACCACTATTTTCCTTTACTGACAGACATTGCCAGAATATTCTAGAATTTCCAAAATGATCAAAAAATTCTGACAAAAAAAAAATCACTGTCTGGGTAAAATATTAGTTGGAATATCTGAACCTATTGATTTAAACTATGTGGTGGTAATCATAGCATGTTGCTGTGCAGTTCTGCTATTTCCGTACATCAGATTAATACCAGGACTGATTTAGAGAAATGGCTTGCTTTATTATGTCGTAAATATTTGCTGGAATGTATAAAATTTCCAGGTGATTAAGACAAAAGAAATCTCCAGTTTATCAATATCCTTGTCTGAGATAAGGCAATGAAATATCAGACCTTTATATTTATCAGAGGTTATCAGAGGTTTGCAGTACAATAATGAATGCTGCTTGTTTTAAGAATTTCCCAAATATTGCATGATTGTTATGTTTCCAAACATACATCCAGTTGTGTTGCGAACAAAATTGGTCTCAAATATTTTATACATGCAAATGTTTTTTTAACAATTTATGATTTATATGTATGTAGAAAAATGTTTACCTTAGATGCCTCACATGATACTGTTAGTTTTGACTAAGCAATCTGTTTGTTTTGTGATGTTTACAGTAGCACTAAATCAATAGGTTGGCCAATTTTTATAGACATACAAGGAGCATTTGGAAGGTCAGAAACATAAGAAGAAGGAAGCAGCTCAAAAACAAATGGAGGCAGCTGGACCTGATGGTTACAGATGCAGTCTATGTGATGTGACTTGCACTGGAACTGATGCTTTTAATGCTCATCTCAAGGGAGCCAAACACTTGAAGGTTGGTTCAAAACTCTGTCATTCATACTTGTTTTGAATGATTTTATATCAAAAAGGCAAGGGTTCGAGTCCATATATAATATATTGCTGTGTTGTTTTATGATTATGGCCTGCAATCCCCCATGCAATACTAACTTCGTCCATGGAATAGGCTATTTTCATGAAATCTTTACCTGTCATTTAATGTATCAACTGATTCGTGATAGTTCAAAATGGGTTCCCAGTGATGATGGATTTCTCCTGACTGACAATGTGAGGGCAAAACAATAACTGATTTAATCTGAGGGAACTTGTTGTACTATTTGGACAAGTATTATGAAGTCATTTTACTAATGCTTACTCTTCCCCAGTTTAACATAATGCGAAAATGAGACATATACTCTTTTCGAGTTTGTGTGGGTGTAGGTTATCTTTTGATTTTGGGTGCTTGTGTGTAATTAAAATCGACCTAAAAGCATTTTCATTGGATAAAAACCCTTGCAGCTTGCCATTGCGAGTCATGCATAGTAATTCAAGCAGGGAGGATCCAAGCGCTAGCTACTATCTGCATTTAGGTACACTGTCTTGACCCCAAACAAATAAATTTTAATGCCATAGTTTTCCTATTTCAGACTGTAAAGCTTCATGAAAAGCTTGGTAAGCCAATACCAGAGGTACTTTCAGCTGAGGATCAAGATAAAGACAAGAAAAAAGATGGCATTGTTAAGACACAGACACCAAAACCTTCCTTCAGAAACAATCAACGTAGAAACAGAAAGCCGTCTGCGCCTAAAATAACATTCATTGGTGGGGCAACATTGAATTCCACACCTGGAGAAACGGCAACAACCTCTGCAGTTACCTCTGAGGCACAGGATGCTGATGTGTCGGCCACTATGCCTGACGAAGGTGGAAAAAAAGGAGACACGACTGGGTCTGAAGAAGGAAAGGATATTAAATTTGTTGGTAAGTTAACAATCCAGTAATTTACAGTGTTTTCTCTGTTCAATATGGACCATTTTTTTCTTTGGGTGTAAAATAACAGAAGCTTAACACTTTAGGATGAGGCAGTTAGGCGTGAAAGCTATAAACTGTCTCAAAACACTTATTAAACGGAAAAAAGAGGTTGTTAAGGCAAAATGTATTGAAGTTTGATTGAGCTTAAGTTCAGTGACACTACCTGGTATTCTTTCATTTGAAAAACTGTTAACTGGCATGTTTGCATATAACTAGAGTAATAGTTACTTCCAGAAAGGGGTTTTTAATATAAAATGCTGTTTTTTGCAGGTGAAGACTATATTGAAGAAGTAAAGTCTGATGCTGGTAAAGTCATTGGGTTTGAATGCAAGCTATGCGAGTGCAAGTTTAATGACACTCTGGCAAGAGAAGCTCATTTGAAAGGAAGAAGGCACCAGTTGGCATATAAGGTATTGTTCTCAAGTGTACTTTGGTACATGAGGTCATGCATAATATTCCCTAAAGCAAGTTAATGCAAAGCTAATTGTTTTGGTAGTATAGACTGTATAGTGTGCTCATCATATTTCTGATACTGTGGGCCCAGCTCATCTCCATATCAAAGCTACATACATATATTCTATTTTTGACATGGATCCACCAAATATATGATTGTCAAAAAATAAGTATCCTGTAATATATACAACCAAAGCATAATCATTCTCTATACTTGTATAGATAAGAAATCAGTTTCAGCCAATATCGAAATATGCAATATTTTTGTTTTTCCGCACATTCCTGCATAATTTTTTTTCCACGCATTCCTGCATAAATTTTAATTTCTGTTCTTTTGTGAGTGTCATATTTACCTTATTTTTCTTCATAGAAGAAAGTCCAACCTGATTTTGTTGTGGATCAAAAGCCTAGTGCAAGAAACAGGCAGCCACCTCAGCCACGCTCTCTGATGGATGACAAGGCAAGACGAAGATGGGAACAGGATATGTACTGGAGACAACAAGAAGCTGCTTGGAGGAATGAAGAAGTCAGAAGGTGTGCTTTTGTCACTTACATGTAGCTAATTCATCATTTCATCTACATACGTATGTAGGATTTATTAGTAATAGCCTGCAATTTGCGGGAATTAATATGTGGCAGGGTTGAAAAGCAGTTTTTGTTGTTGGTGGTTATATTTACACATTTTTATATACATACAAATAATGGCGAGGTTTGCCACCGTTTCTTGCACATGATGTTCAGACATTTATGACGAAAGTGATGAAGAATAAGGCTTTGAATATATTTAAACAATGATAAATTGTTGTCAATTTATAAAATAAATGGAGGCGAGCGGACTTAAAGCATGCACTGAGGTTTTGAAATTATTCTACTTTGAAGCTTGAATAATAATGTTAGTTAAGGTGACCAGTGCCAACCTCTGGCTTGATAATTCTCAATCACGCTCAACCTCATCCAATAATTGTTTGCTATTGCCATCCTTAGGTGGGCGAAGAGGAATATTGGCGGAGATTGGAAGAGGAAGAGAGAATGTGGGATGAACATGAAAGCCACCGTCATGGAGTGGATTGGGGTCATAGGATGGGACCTCCACGTCCTGATTATGGTGATATGGTAAGATCAGCATTTTCTCCACTGTTTGTGTATTATAAACTGATTTATTATCTTGATCAAAACATTGTATTCCTAAACGCAACCTGTTGAGTTTATTAATTTAGCCAAATTTGTTAGGAATTGTTGTAAAACCAGTGCGGGAATAGAGCCTCTTAAAGTTAACAAATATCGTATACTTCAGTCTTCAATACGCACCAATATTATTACCACATTTTGACTGAAAATGGTAGCGAATTCTGTACGCTATACGAAGTTTTATAAGCAAACTTCACAACATCTTGCATCCAAACTTTGCAATCTTCCTGGTTTTACTATCGATATCCTTGTGTAATTGGCAAAAAGTTCGTCCAAAATGCTATTTGTCTGTTACATATAGGATTTAATTGTGTTTTTGTGACTTTGTAGTCCGTATGTTGTCCCAAAACGTGTTCTTCAATCGAATCCCAGCCTTTTTGTGATGTACAAACAGGATGGAATGCGTTAATTGAAGAATTTCTTTATTCTCTTTTTTCCGCGTTTAGTATCCGCCGCCAAACATGCCTCGACCACGACAGGACAGTCAGGATGATCGTATGGTCATGGCTAAACATAAACAAATCTATCCGAATGAGCAAGAACTCAGCGCCGTTCAGAGCATCGTTTCTGCGGTGGAGAAAGCGTTGAAGCTCGTTTCTGACAGCATCGCGGAGGAAGAAGCGCCGCTCGTCTGTAAAGTAGAAGTTAAGGACGAAAACATGGAGGTGACCGAAGCGCCGCCAGCTGAAGAAAAAACGACGGTGAAAGAGGAGAAAGGTAGTGAAGAAAAGCCCGAGGAAGAGAAGGCTGTCGGGGAAAGTGATGAGAAAACAAGCGAGGAAACAGACGAGAAAAAGGATGATGAAACGAAAAAATCCGCAACTCCTAAGCTGAAGGAAAAAACTGAACAAGCACCAAGTTAGTATTTAGCGCGTGGTTCTTTCTGACCCTTTAAAACTATTGAGGTTTACTGTAGTCTGTTGTCGCATTGAATTACTGGAGTCGGTTGTACGAATGTTGAGATTGTGTGTGTGTTTTTTCAACCGTTATAAACATACTTAAAAAACAATGAAATTACAGATTTTTAGCGAACAATTATGAAAGAGGACCCTGAATTTAAGAGCAGTAAGGTTTAGTCAAGGTTATACCGAGCAACGGCCAATTTTTAGGGTGATTTTTTTATTTAACCCGAGTTGAATTTTCAGAAATAATACTTTGATTTGGCATACCACGACCATTAGCTGTACAAAGAATATGGCTTAAAATTATTTATTTCTAACGAAGAATCGCAATTTCGAATGTTTATCGTCCACACATTACTTCTTATCTTAGGAACCTTAAAAGGTGTTATGCGTGTTGGCGTCCTTGCGAAAGGTCTACTGCTTCATGAAAGACTTGACGTGCAACTTGTTGTTTTATGTCAAGGTAATAATTGAACAATATATGATATGTATTCTGCATGGTTGGACTGAAATGATCTCTTGCATGGTTTCTATGTGCTTCCTTCCACGATTTATTATGGACCTGTAAAACAAGCGAACAAGGAATACAACTGATATCGTGTGCAGGACTTCGAGCTGTAATTTGGTCTATGATATCAGAATAGTCTTTAGGCTCGTACTGTGGCCAGCAATCGGTTGCATAAGTCTCGGCCTAGCGAAGTTTGGTTTCGGTATCATTGCGAACGCTTTTCTCGCATTGCAAGAGCCCAACGTGTATTATAAGGGTGTGGAAATTTCAGCATCAAATTTTGACAAAATTTGTTCATTCATTTAATGTGCAGATCGACCAACAGTGCAACTTCTTGAACGAGTGTCGACGAAACTTCCTGATCAGTTAACGGTAAGATATGCTTTCACGTAAAATTTTTTATCGAAAAGCGATTTCTCCTGGAGTGTAATATAGTATTTTAAATATTTAGCTAGTTAGTGATAAAAGGTTAGCGACATGTTAGCGTGTATATACTGTACTGTGCTACTGTTTAGGATTTTGTTGATGAAGGATTGTGACTTGCTTAAAATGCTATATTCATATCTGCATTGTGTAAATTGTATGGCCTGTCTTCTCGTTTGAAATAGTTGATAAAAAAGTCTTATATTGCTGCCTTACATTTTCTTTCATAACAGAAAGTTAGTGACGAAAAGTACGACGTAGTCGTGGAAAATTGCCAGATTACAGTTGCCAGCACAAAAGATCCAAAGATCACTGTCCTTATCACGTTAACGTCCCCTGTGATGAGAGACGAGGCTGATGTAGCACAAGGTAACTTTATGTTTTCCCAGATTTTCTCACATTGCACCTTGCACCGTAACTTGTCTGAGCTTTCGAAAAAAATTATAAACTGGTGTTTCTCAAGTTTTGATAATTCTTCCAGGTTATTATACTTTATTCAATATTTAAAATTTCAATTTCTGCCATTTAAAATTTCAAATTCTGTCTTTCAAATTCTGCCCTAAGTGTAAAAAAAGTATGAAATTTTTTTGTTGTCAGCAAACGCTCAAATTCGTATGGTATGTTTTTTACGTGTCAGTTTATAATTTTTAATCATGTTATTAAAATATCCTGATATGCACACGGGTGTTGTAAAGGTAAGTCCAGAGACTGGATCGAATGCTGATTTTGGGAAAAAGTTCTTAAAGTCAAAAATAATCAAGGTAACTTTTTCATGCAAAAAAGAGCGAAAATCTCGACCGTGCCTAATTTTTCCTCGATTTTCAAAGGCACTTTCAATCAATGCGCTTTTTTCTACGAGGGAGGGATCAAAATTGTATAGCCTACAATTGGTTTATTATGACTTGATATGCTAATCTTTTGTTCTTTTGCTGTTGTGATATTCTGCAACAGTATCTTTTGTTAGTGAATATGATTGATATTGTTCCTCAGAGATACAGGAGAGGGTATTGGAAGGAGATTTGACCCATAGTTTTTGATGCTCCATTAATATGTACATACATGTATTGTATACAATCAATGAAAGTCACGCCTGCGATAATTTCGTAACAAGTAGGGTCGATCATAATAGTCAGTACAAAACTTTCCCAATGGGTTATCGTTGATGGCAATAAAAATAAAATGTTTAAAAAACATTATAATTTTTGGTCTCGCACTTTGGACTAAACTCGTGGCGTATATTTATACTAAATTGTTTATATTTAAGCTCTTTAAATTGAGATTTTTTGTAGCATTTACCTGATTCAAGTTTGCTGTACTAAAAATTACCCAGTTAATAATACATGTATGTTTTCATTTTGCATTTTTAGTTAAGATAGCTGCGATAGTGTTCGCAACAATTAGCATTTTTCTTTTCATTTGCTCTCAAATTGTTAAAATAACTAAGAATCACAGAGATAAAAATTACATAGAACGATTCGTCAGGATTTTATCGGTTTTATCTTCGGTTTTAAAACATTTCTTTTCACTGCAATTTTCCGTGGAGCATCAAAGACCGTTTCTGTGTTGCACACCAATAATACTTGATGTTGCACACGTGAATACGTCTCGTGCGGTCAAACACGTCCTCGCCAACTCCTGACCCAGTTCACTCTGATTTAGCGGAAGAACAAAAAGATGTATTGGATCGAGACAAATGTCTGGAGGCATTGGCATCCCTACGTCATGCTAAATGGTTCCAGGTTCGACTTCTACTTCATGTAGTATTAGGTAAACTGCATCGTATACGTGACGCAATGCTACTAAGTGCGTTCAGTAGCACGATTTGTTTCCAATGATGATTTATTTATTCCTGACATTGTCCGTGGAGGAAAAAATAAACTGATTTAATGAGTCTGAGGAAATAAATTTGCGCATAACGCGTGAGAAATTAATATCGCCGACGTACGAAGCACGGTTGCTCGTTTGCTTTGACAGGTGAATGTCGTTGAACTATGATTTTTTGCAGAAACGTCCATCGTTTTTATTTCGGCATTTTTTTTATTCGAGAAGCAACGTTAATAATCAATCGAAATGAAAAAATTGCAATAAATTGCGACGAAGATCGCCGGACAAAGACGTGCATCGGTTTTCTTACGACTTCGCGAAGGCTGAGTGTTATGTTACGATGCTGTTTGCCTTTTTGAGTTCCATTGTACTTGTAGTTTCCCTTTGTAGATAAAGCACACAATATGTTTACGTATGTTAGCTTCATTTGTGTGTAAAATGCTTGCCACAGACAATGTGCATAAACTGAATTCCTTTAAAAAATATCATTGTTGCCATTTGTTGGAACATGTAACATATGCCAATTTGATTAGAGTTATGACATTGTTCTTAGGATACCATCTAGAGTATTGTTGTTGTGACGTTTGGAATGTTTATGTCGGAATTTAGGCACGTGGTCTGTGTGCAGGCAGTTTGGCCTAGGCATCTCTTTTACAAAAAGTGTCTCATGTTTTTTAGGCTAAGGCGAACGGCGTACCATCTTGTGTTGTG